GACGTGTTCTCTGATGAGTTCACTTATTCTTCCCTATTAAACATCTATCGTCCTTTTCTTCCCGTGTTCTTTTTTTGTGTTTGATACTCTCTTATTACAACTCTAATCTTCGGAAAGTATATATGGCCTAATTGTGCTGGAAAAACAATGAAACTTTTACTGAGATAGATAGATAGATAGAGAGATAGAGAGAGAGAGAGATAGAGAGAGAGAGAAAGAGAGAGAGAGAGACAGAGAGACAGAGAGACAGAGAGAGACAGAGAGAGAGAGGGAGAGAGAGACAGACAGACAGAGAGAAATACAGAGAGAGTCACAGAAAAAATGATAAAGGGAGAGGTGAAAACTAGTTCAGAGAATGCATGAGAGCCCATACCCTCCCAGCCATGCCTGCATTGTTTGTTTGACATTTGCCATAATTATGGCTCTCCTATGATACGATTTCCGCAAAAGAAGAGCGCACTGCTCATAGAGAACACACGGAAATGTCCTATTTTTAGACCTGTGCACGATTTTCTTACCGTGCGAAACTGAAGTCTACGTTGTCACCTTTTTGTGTTGGTTTGGTGCGAAGTATGGGCGGAGAGGGTTTACAGTAATAAAATTGTATTACTGTAAACTCGCTGATATGGGTATTGTAAAGGTATTCCAAGATAAAAAATTTCTGTGTCGCACCTCACCTACAACACTAGAACGTTATTTTTTAAAGATTGGACTTAAAAGTTTACTCCCGCCTACGATGAGACAGAGGTACATGGATGAAAAACGATTGGGGAGCCCCCAAAGTTATACGAGTTCAAAAATATCACGTTGGAGGTTCGAACCGGTTTCGCCTATACTGCTTTACTTTACTTTACTTTTATCTGCCGCAAAATTGTACCTTTTTGGGTGTCGCAGGAAGAAAGAGACGTCTCTCTGCCACCAACTGGAGAGCTTGGGTCAGGGGGATGCCGAGAGTTGTTAATGTTTCACTGAGCCAATACTGCAGTCCGTTAAATTCCAACTAAGACAATATGTCGGACATTGTTGCTCTATGTCAAATTACTTGTTCAAAGATGTCTGATGCGATTGACTGAGGCGGGCTACTCACTATTCGTGTACGTGCTCGGGTGTGTGTGTGTG